TAGCCTCAGCATCTTTATTTGTAATGTGGGGATAATATACCCATCTTGCTGTGTTGTTGTGAGGGTTAGCAATAATGAATGAAAAGCTCTTAGTGCCCGGCACATAGAACATGGTAAATAAATGGTAGCTGTTTTTATTGTTGCTGTTGCTTCTAGACTAATGTAAGTTAAGATTAGCACAGAGGTAGCCAGGACATTGAAGACATAGGAAATGTGCCTCATTTAGTCCGAGGGAATTGCGACTATAGAAGTGCCCATACCCACCTCCACCAATGAAACAGCCTCATCTCATAATAGATGGAGTACTAGGGGGGAGTCTGGAGACTCAGTTTCTAGTCCCGAACCTGTACTAAGAGGCTGCAGGACCCTGTGCAGGCGTTTACCATTTCTGCTCAAGAGAGTTAACTACGATGCCTGTGATGCTGCTTCTGAGTCCCAAGTCTGTGCAGGGCCTGTGTGGCTGGTCACTCTACTGAAGGTCTCAGTTCCCTGCAGAATTCAACCTGGGAGCCCTGTCCCTGAGCCCTGGGAGATGTGTGTGTGTGTGTGTGTGTGTGTGTGTGTGTGTGAACTGATGAGGGTGCCTCTTTGGGAAGCTTGGTAGTGGGGAGGAAAGAGGCCCGCCTGGGCGGGAGGGCCTGACTCTACTCCCTGCCTGGGTTTAATGAGCCCCAGAGCTCCGTGAGGGCTGCTTTTCACCACCTTTTATTTGGTCAGACAGGGAGCTCAATAAATCTTTAGTTCTGTGGACTCCCCTCGTGGAGTTGTTGAAGGAGAAAGCTTTTTGCAAATGACTGGAAAGCCCTTTGCAAATATAAAGTGCTTATTTAGATGCAAACTAAAAATCCAAGGTGCCTGTGACTCATCTGGTACCTATTGTGCTCGCTGCACAGAGGCAGAGGCTCGCCTGTGATGGGTGCCATTTGAGAGCCACTTAAAGAACTCCCTGGTGAATGAATTTGGCTGCATTATTCCCGGGCTCCTCTCAGAGGACTCTAATTCTCAACACTTGGTCTTGTCCTCCTCTTCTGACACATTCTCAGCCCTCTCGTGAGTTAGTTCTGACCCCGGATGCAAGATGCTGTGGGAGGGGGCTGGCCCCCTGGGGAGGCGAGGAGCCAAGGGGCTAGGGGATTGTGCTCAGAACACTTCTCACTGTGATTTTTTTAAAAAGAAAAGGCAGCATTAATCCAAGCATCCCAGAGCTATGCCTAAAAATCTAACGACAATAGTGTTACTTGCTTTCAAAAACCCTTTTATCATTTCCTTTTCTTTCCTCTCTCTTTCTACCCTGTTATTACAGATCAGGGCTTCATGACCAAAAAATACTGAATCCATTTGGTTAAGTTTGTCAGACCGGTGACTGGCATTGTGCGAAGACCAAAAGCCTGTGTGAATGACTGCATTTTTAATGAATTGACCAGCTATTTGTCATCAGATGAACAGAATTTAATGCTGTGTATGGCAAACTGCTGTGAAGGTTAATGGAGACAGCTTTTCCAAGGCCTATTTTCATTTCTAGAATACGAGGAGGTTCCATTTTGAGGCTTGGTGAGGACCGATTGGACCATATGGAAATACAAGCCAAGAATGGAGCCTCTTTCTCCATGGAGATCCAAGGCATGGCTAGTCCCTTCAGGTTTCAGGTAGGTGACTGCTGTGCATTCTTGGAGTTTTCCTATACAGGACAGAGCCAATTCAAGATTTATTCTTGTTGGTTGTGTTTTATATGGTGAACATAGAAGTGGGTGTTAAGCATGGCCGCTGCCAACAAAATGATGTTCTTGTGTAAATTAGATAAAGGCACCCACTCCTGGCTGGCAAATTGCAAAAAGGCACCCTCTTTTGGCTGACTCAAAGCTTGGCAAAGGAAGTGCTGGCTGAATTTCTTTCCTACACCAGTGTTCAGGGCACAACCTGCACGACCTTGCCCAGAGCCCCACGTGTGTGAATGTGTGTGGGTGGAGTGTATAGGCCACGTTCTTGAGAGGGTAGAGAGGAGGGTCAGGAATTAGGAGGGCTGGGTGGTGGCTGTCTCAGGCCCTCCCCTAGATGCTCTCTTTATATTGCTCTTCCCTCTCCTTCCAAGGCTGACCGATTCTCTCATGTCCTTTCTGAAAGTGCCTATTTGTGGCATGAACATGGGCTACCCTCAGGCAGGGAACACAATTCAGTTTCATGCTTTTTGCTCAAGGCTCTGCAATAGGCACAGCAGGGAGATTCACAGGTTCTAAGGAGCTAGGTCTAGTGTGAGAGTTTCAGGTGGTGGAGGCAATGATGAAGCAAACCGGCTGCCTGCGGTCCAGTACTCCTGTAAATAACATAGTCCTGAGGCCAGGCACAGTGGCTCATGCCTGTAATCCTAGCACTCTGGGAGGTGGAGGCGGGAGTATAGCTTGAGTTCGGGAGTTCGAGACCAGCCTGAGCAAGAGTGAGACCCTGTCTCTACTAAAAATAGAAAGAAATTAGCTGGACAACTAAAAATATATGGAAAAAATTAGCCGGGCATGGTGGTGCATGCCTGTAGTCCCAGCTACTCTGGAGGCTGAGGCAGAAGGATAGCTTGAGCCCAGGAGTTTGAGGTTGCTGTGAGCTAGGCTAATGCCACGGCACTCTAGCCCGGGCAATAGAGTGAGACTCTGTCTAAAAAACAAAATAAAACAACAAAAAATAACATAGTCCTGAAAACATGTTCTAAATGTCCAGAAATTACACCAAAGACTTAGATGTCAGAGAAAAAATGTTATAAAGTCCCTATCTTCTCATTTTTTAACAGCTTTATTGAAATACAATTCACACACCACATAGTCCACCCATTTAAAATGTACAATTCCATGTTTTTTTTGTTATATTTACAGAATTATGCAACCATATCCATCTATTTTTAAACATACTCTTTACTGGTATTATTTGCAGAATTATGGATATGTTCTTTAATTTTCCTCTCAGTTGGATAGCCAACCAAGTGATAGAAATAAAAAACCATCTAGTTGGGTGGGTGGTTTGCAGATCACCATAGGAAAGGGGTTTCATGTTCATTCTTTGGTTCTTTTGGTTCAAAATTCCCATTTCAGCATGAGAGGCAGTTTAGGGCTGTTGCTCTAGAGAACGCCATGCTGGGCCGTGTGGGGCGGGCGTGCTCTAGGACCTCTGGAAAAGGCTGCAGATGCCACAACATAGTTGCAAAGAAAGCGTTTTGAGAGTTCAGGGGTGACTGAATCAAACTGTAGGAATTCAGAAGGGCTTTGTGGAAAAGAGGTCCATTGTGATATGGAGCATAAGAGGACTATAGAGCAACCCACAAAGGGATGAGATTAAAAAGGTAGGTTGAGGCCATATTGTGGAAAACCTGGAACGCCAGGTGTGAAGATAATTCTAACTTTTATTCCATATGCTGAGGAGACACTGGCGGGTTTGGTGAAGGGCAGTAGACTTAGGGCTTTACTTCTGGGGGAATAATTCCGATAGTGGTATGAGGACCAGTGAGAAGGAAGTGGTAGAATTTCAGGTGAGAAGTCACAGGAGCCTAAACTAAGTAGGGGGCAGCAAGAAAGGAAGAGTAGGGGCAAATTTGAAGAAATTACAAAAATAGAGTCTATAAACGTCGACTGCTTGGGTGTGAGAGATTAGAAAGAGAGAAGAGTCCTATAAAACCCAAGATTCCAGGAGAAAGATGGTGTCAATAAGAGATCACCAAGTCAAGATGGGTGGGTGCATTAATGGTCTGGTTTTTAGCACTTAGCATCATAGGAGCCAATGGGAAACTCACGTAGTAATGTGATCTGGGGAGAAGGCAGAGGTGTAGCTGGAGATTTGGGGAAGTTTGCACAAAGCTTAAGATTATTGACTTGGGGTCAAATAGACATGGATTCAAATCCTGGCATGACCCCATATGAGCTGTGTGACTTTGGCAAATTTCTTAATTACCCCAGGAAAGCTGTAAATGTGATAATAATAGTGTACGATAACTAGTTCCCAAGAATGGTTGTGAAGACGAAATGAGTTAATGCCTGTCAAAGCTTAGGACAATGTGGTCAATTCTCGATAAATGGCAGATCTTATTTGGGGTCACCTGTTGGAACTCTGGATGATATTATTGGGAGAAAGAAAAGGGGTGAAAGGTGAGAGAGGAGGGACAGGACTCGGAGAAGGAAGGTTGGAGGTTCTTGACCAGTGCCAGAAGCCACAGGCTTGGAAGCAGCCTCTTTCCCCCAGGGCTCTCAGTGGGCCCCACAGTGTCCCGTGGGAGCCGTGTGAATGTAAGGCCCATGCAGGGTGAGGGGAAAGAGAAGAGGAAGACAAAAAGAGGAACAGAGGCACCGAGAGCAAGGGCAGTGAATTCAGGTACCCGTAGGGATAGAAAGTGATGTTACTCAGGTGGAACACATAGAGTGGTGTCAAAATCACAGAAATCCAGAAATTTTGTCAAACAAAAAGCAATTTTAAAAAGCCTATCATTTTTTACTTGCTTTTCTTAAACTCTATGAGGGAACTATATAGATCACAGCCATGCTTTCTAAAATTGCCTTTCTCCCCCACTTTTCTCCCCTTTCCTTCCCCAAAATGCATTCCTGCTTACCTCTTTCTCTTTTCCTCTCTTCCTCCCCCACCCTCCCTCCTTTCAACAAAAACAAAGAAAACAACAGGATTTCCTGCCAACCCAGGTCAGCTCTCCTTTTGTTCTTCTCCCCCTTTCCTTTTTATTAGGAATAACAAAAGCCCCAAAGGATGGTGGAAAAGCAAAACCAGAATCCTCTCTAGGGGTCTGGAGGAGAAGAAAGACAAAAAATGCTTATAAGATAACAGTTTCTCTCCTGTCACAGGGGTTTCTTCTCATCTGCACGCCATAATTTAAGAGAAAAAGAGAGGACAGAAAATGTCACAGTGTCAAGTACTACTTAGAGGTGACTCCAGTGCCCTCAAATGCAAAGGTTTTCCCTCCCCCACCCAGCTTTTGGGCCACCTCTCTCCCAATGCTGGAAGGGGAACCCCAGCCCTACCTGTCTATGCTGATGGCACAGAGGTTCAGGATGCTGGCTGTACACATCATGACATCCAGGGTGACAAAAACATCACAGCAAATGCGGCTGAAATTCCAGACTCCACCTGTCACCTGGGCATCAGAGACAAGGATGTTAGTGTTTCTCCCAGAGAAAGAACAATCACCCAATCAACTCTCTTGTCTTCTCTGTGTCACCCAGTATGGATGTCGACCCCTGTCTACTCCTGTGGTTGGTGCCATCATTACCACAGGGTGGACAGACATCGAGGGAGTGCCAGGCTGTCCAAGATTGGTTGCTAAAGAAAGGACCAGTTCACAGAGTGTTAGTGCTGGAAGGGATCTTCCAAATCAATTAGTCCAGTGTTTCTCAAAGTGTGGTCCACAAGGGGGTGCTCATTAAAAATGTAGATTTCTGAATCCTTCTTAGACCTACTGACAGTAGGTCTAAGGTCTGGATCTGTGGTCCATGAATCTTCATTTTCAAACACCCCCAGACATACCACAGTCTGAGAATTGCTGATCTAGTTCCGACTCAGGAGGCAATGATGTTCCTTATGGCTAAGTGTTATGCTCAGGGATTCACAGCTGGCAGCAAAAGAACTTGGGCGACTGCCTGATGTGTGTATTGTGACAAAACTGCCTCTCTGAAGCCCTCCACCCAGCAGAGAGCTCACCATGTACTCAGGAAGTAAACTTAGAACATATTTTTCATAAAATGTACCTCCAAAGTAAAAATCTATCTGGCTTCAGGTTTCAAAGCTTGCAAACATTCCGAAACAACATCTATAAGAACCTATATAAAATAAGTCTGTGCCAAGATGACTGCCTTAAACACCCCTCACCCCACTGCTAATGTCCCACTCACCAAGAGGAGGGGAAAAGACTGAGTCCAGGGGCTTGGAAAGGAGCAAGGATTCTCTCTACCACTCATGGAATCAGTGAGGATGGTTTCAACCTCATGCATCTACACGTGTACATAATCTCCATAACCTCCTCTGAGTAATGCTTATAAAAAGTCCAGAATTTAGGTAATTTATATTCTAGTATATGTCTATTTAATTTTAAAAACTTTCATATAACCTAATTGAACCAAGAAGATGTGTCAGGGAGACTGTCACTTACAGAATGTCTGCGAATGGCCACTCGTGGGCCTTAAGGCTTTTGTGCTCTTGCCAGCTTCCTGCCATTCTTGGGGACCCTGGCTCTCAAGGAGAGACCCGAGAAGCTTTGTGCCCCTGGCTGTAGCTGAGTGTTCATGATATTCCTCCTAAGCAGGGCCAATGCCTATTTAAGGGGAAGAAAGAGTGAAAAAATAGGAACAGTAGCCACTGAAGTTGCTTATCACAGATAGTGAGCAAAATGATCGTGTATAAAGATGGTGCTGTTCCTCTGAGCTTTCTCATCCAAGAATTCTTCTTCAATGTCCAGGTCACTTTACTATTCATTCCTGTTTTCCCAATAAAGCAGGGTTTTAAGACGCTGTCTATCCTTCCTCATCCCTAATACTTCTTCCCCTTGGATTTATTTCTTTGCCTACATCCCCTTTTATCCCCTGAGTTTGGTCATCTCCAGACTCTATTTTGAGAAACTCTGACCAAAATTTTTGTTGTTGTTTAAAAGCAACAGTGAAAAGTTAAAACTAGTGATAAAGCTATCATTTTTGTTTATTTGGTTGTAGATTTATTTTCTCTCTTTTACTTGGAACTCTTGCCTCTATATAAATAAAGGCCTACTATGAATGTATAGGAACTCTGAGCATGAAAAACTTTTCAAAAGGGAGATAGATGTAAGAATTCTAATATAAAAGGCCATAATAACACAATGATTTAAGGCAGCAGGAGAATAAAAGATAGATAGTTTTGGTTATTACATAGGACAGTTGAATGCTGTAAAAGCTTCTTACAAAAGCTGACTTTTGCATACTAAATTTTATTTCAACCTTGTGTGGACTACGAAAGTTATGTTTAAAATTAGGGAAAACCCCTTTTTTGCATAATTATGAGTAGCTGTTTGTGTATATGTGTTGGGGGCTAGTGTAGGTGAGAGAGAATAGTTAGGCCACCAGCAAACTTCAGTGCTTGCTGTGTATTCATTCATTCATGCATGCATTCATAAAGCAAGTACTTGTGAATCTGCTAACACTTAGCTTTTAGAAGGAAGGTATGTTATATGTGTTAAGAGGTTTTATGAAATGTATTATAGGGCCTCTCGTTGAACAACTTAAAATAACTGGAGAAGCAAGGCATTTTAAAATAAGATATTGATAGTTAGAGGTCGTCATGAGATCCTAATATTAATATGAACTAACATTTATTAAGAATTTATAGGGTGGGGCAAAGGCGATATATGTAACCTAAACATTTGTATCCTCTTAATATTCTGAAATTAAAAAATAGAATTTATATGCAGCACCGACCCACATGATCCATTCCAGGAATGTCTATAATTTTGAAACTTCAGATTTTGAAAACTGAATTGTATTTTACTGTATGCGTTCCTAAAGCTTTTTGAGGACAAATTATGTACTTACTTGATAGGAGATTAAATGACTGTTACTTAACCAACACCTATAGGAGGAGGGACATTTACTTGTTTTCTGCTGCATCTGCAGCTCCTAGAGGATCCCCAGGGCCTAGCATGAAAATATATTTTGGAAAGAGTGAATGGTCTCTGATATAATCTTTCTCAATAATAGCTAACATTTATTGAATGCTTACTAAATGCCTGGTGTTCTGCAAAGCACTTTACATGCATGGCTTCTATTCCGATTATAATCCTATGACAGAGAGCTATTACTGTCTTCATCGCAGAGAAGGAAGCTAAAGCTTAGAGAGAGTAAGCACCTTGTCAAAGGGCACAGGGCTAGTAGAGGCAGACAGGGCACTCGAATGTAGGTTGTTCTGCACCTTGTTGTAGGGAAGCGGCAAGCAAGGAGGGGTGGTTGTTGGAAAATGGATGGAAGTGAGTAGACAGGGGAAAAGAGAAAGCCAGGTGCCCTTCAAGGGGTTTTGTGTGACAGACTGTATCAACTCCTTTCTAGGGAATGGGATGTCCTCCTGATTGCTTCTATCCCAAGGTGACAAAAAACAGTTCAAAAGACAGTGGGGGCCACTGTCTTTTGGGATAGCTGAAAGTATACACATGGCAGGCTTCTTCAATATCCCTCTTGCTCAGCCCCTAAAGACAGAGCCCGCAAGCTGTCTCCTGGCTTCTAGGCCCCCTTGGAGTGCCACCCCATTCTGGCTGTCCTCTTTTACTGTCTCCAGATCCTGCCATCAAAATTTCCATTCTCTCCTTGATCTCAGCTAAGTGTCAAGAAGAAAACAATCTGATTAGCTGATTAAAGTAATTCCCACTGAGGTGCCATCACTTAGCTTTCCCTGGTACTTACTCGTTAAAATGGGTCTCTAATTGGTGGGAGTTGTATTGGAAAAAAATATATTTCTTTACTGGAGTCCTCCACACCAAGTAAATAATAGTAAGGGGTCAATAAAGAGCATCACAGTGCCAAGAACATGCTAGTAACTCTCACACATTGTCTCATAGTAACCCAAGGAGGTAAATATGATTTCTAATTTATAGATAAAGAAATGGAGACCTGGAGAGGTTGAGTAATTTGCCTAAGGACACATAGCTTGTAAAGGAGCTGGAATTTCAACACCATTCATATTAACCATTACTCCGTTCTAACCCTCAAAGGTCAGCACCTTGGAATGCCACTTCTGAGAAGTGCAGAATTGAACTGCATTCTAATGTCACAGGAGGGAGAAGAGTTGGCATTTGTCCATCCATCTACCCATATATCCACTATTTATTGAGGGCTCATTATGTGCCTGGAACTTTGCATGGGTGGGTGTATTGAAATGAATTAAACCTGTTTTTGTCCCGAGGGCCTCAGAATATAGTATGTTCCTGTTAGGGGAGTAATGTGCGAATGGTGTGGGTGAATTGAGGGCTTAAGAAATAGGTACTAAAAAAGTAGTTATGATGTAACGTGGTAAGTGCTAACATTGAGATAGGTACCAAGTGTTGGGAGATCATGAAAGGCAAACTGATTTTTTGAAATTAAGTCAGAAAAAAGTAAAAAAAAACAAACCCAAATCTGATTGATTTAAGGCTTTTTAGAGACATGATTCTTTCTCCTACATTCTAATGAATAACTCACTTCAGAATTATACAGCAGCCAGGTGGTGTTACTCTCACTTGCTAATGAATATAACTAACTCCCTTTGGCAATACAGAAGGTGGGAGTAAGCAAGCCATGTCTTCAGGTACTGAAGTTGGCTATTGATTTCCAACAGACACAGCCTAGGGCAGCATTTCCCAAATTTACTGATTATAAGGCAGCATTTCCCAAATCACCGGAGGCTCTTGTTAAACAAAATGATTCTCAGTCCTTGCTCAGAATAATAAGTCCCTCAAATCATTCTTTTTGTCTGGGTTTGGGAAACACTGGTCTGGCAGGTGGGGTGGGCAGGACATCATCTTCAGAAACAGTTGTCCCTAAAGCAGGGCTCCTTAAGAACTCCTTTAAAAAATAATATTTTTATTTATTTTTTTTGAAACAGGGTCTCACCCTTGTCCCCCTGGCTGGAGTGCAGTGGCCTCACCATAGCTCACTGCAACCTTGAACTCTTGGCCTCAAGTGATCCTCCTGCCTCAGCCTCCCAAAGAGCTAGGGTTATCGGCATGAGCCACCACTTCCCACCCCTTAAGCATTATTTATGTCTTGGATTTCTTTGGCCTCATGGTCTCCTTCTTAGAAGAATGTTTTTAAATGCATAAAATAAATATGATGGATGGATCATAAAGAATAGCAATTTTATTGAAATACAGTTACCAAAGTATTTTAAATATATGTGGTACTTTAATAATGCATCAAATAACAAGATCTAGCAGCAAGTCCAAAACTCCTTTAATTTCAAAGCAATGCTGATGTCAGTTTCAAGATATCTACAACAGCCATAATGTGATTTGAAAATATAAATCTCTGTGAGTTCTACAGGTGACACTAAAGATTTCTTCTGCTGTGGGTGATGCCTACATTCATAATTGAAGGAAGTACTAAATTTTACCTTAGTGAAAATAAAGAAGTAATTTTATTTACATCC